AAAGCCTGGTTTTAGTTTAGAAAACATGCAAATAGAAACGGATGAACGGGTCCCCCCCTTTGGAATGGAGGTCGTTTGGCTTCTTTGTTAGCCTGCAATGCCCCATACCTGTCTATGTCTCTGAAAGGGGGGTCGTTAGAGGGAATTGTTGGCCTGGCTGAACAGGCCAACAATCACAGAGGAACAGAAGACCTCGCCTGTTCTGCATTTTGAATTGAAAAAGCTTCCTGGATGGGAAGCAAAACGTCTTCAAACGTGGAAATAAAGTCCAGTGGATTGATTTTTTTTTAAACTTTTTTGGAATTTCTTGACAGGAAAAACACTAATTATACTCATCAATATGCCAACATTAAAGATGATAAATCCAGAATTAATGCTCTTCTCAGAACTAGACTTTGTGTTATAAGAGTTAGAGAGAATTTATCTAGGAGTCTTTAGTGAAATCAGAGAGAACTATTTTAATAATAACTTGTTAAATAATCAATTTTATGTAGATATTAGTAGACATAAATATTAATTTATATAATGATTATTGATTAAAGTAGGTAAGTGATGAAAATTGATGAAATGTTCATCCCAGAACTCAAAGCTGAAATACATTTGTCCACTATAACTTTAATTTAGATGGCATGAATGTTTACATATTAATGTTAGCAAAGGCTGTAGAAAGTATAGTTTGTTTTATAAAGTATGAATGAAAGCATAGATGAACCCTGAGCTTCTAGCGCAGAGGTCATGGGTTAGCGGACTGGGGTCCAGATCCCGACTGGAAATCCTGGTTCAACTTTAGCAGAAACATTAATTTACTTCTTTTATATCTAAAAGTTTTTCAGAGTTGCATTTTATAAACATTTCTTTTCAAAACATGTTGTTTTGGTTTAAATAATCCTGGAACTAATTTCTCTCCATATCGGTATTTATCCTCAGATGTAATCAGATTACTACAATAACCGGATTAGACTGAACCTGTTCTGTGTGAGTTTGCATCCTTACAGAGGGGGGTCTTGCTCTTGGCGGGGGCGGCCTTTCGCACAGGCAGGGTGTTGGAGTAGACCTCTGCTCCGTGCCGCTGAGGCTGCGGCGAGGCCTTGCTCTGGGCCGCCTTGCTCTCCATCCACTGCTGGTAGTCCTCGCCGCCGGCGGCGCCGTTCATCGCCGGCATCGCTCCGTCCATCAGCCGCTGTGAAAAAGCAGTTCAGGCGAGGCAGTGATTAGGCTTCCTCCACGTTTACATCAGCTGAAGCTGTTGCATAACCTCCTGCAGCTCGTTAGAGATAACGAAGGCAGAGAGTGGCTGCCGGTCAGAAACGCTTCATTAATCCAAATCGTTTATTTACAGATTGAAAAACAAACGTCTGAAAGGCTGAGGAAGAAGTTTAAGACTGGATTACTGAATGCACATCTGCAGGTTTTTAGACGAAATGAGTAGATTTGGTCGGTTTGTGCTGCAGGAGGGAAACGTGTTTAACCCCTAAAGCCCTGAGGAGCAAATTCCACCTGAAATTACAAATGCGAATTAAAGAAAGTCCAGCTCCCAAACTATACACTGGAAATACAGGGAGTATGTTTCAGGTGGAACCACTATTTTAAATTTGTGCATAAATAATTTTAAAACCTGTTTTAGAAATGTATAAAGCCCCATTTGAAAGGCATGTGGATGAAACACCATGTGACTGTGTTTTGGCCATTTCTATAATAGATAAACGTGAGCAGGTGTCGGGAGAATAAGCTGCATTGACATCAGAATCAGTCTGTCTTGGTTCAGAATATTAACCAGGAAAAGACGTCTCGCATAAACATCCGCCAAGAAACAAATTCTGCCCCATATTGTGAATAAATCTGCCACATGATCCTTACCAAATATAAATTAATTGTTCCTTAGACTGAGAGTAAAAATGTCCATGACTTTTCACGTTCTCCTCTAAACAGAGAAACTCTCGTAAAAACATAAGTTCGATATGCTCCAGGCTGGATCCACTTCACTCAACCAAACTTCTTTAGCTCCATTCGGTTCTTCACTTCAATCGGATCTCAAACTGCAGATTTAAAGCGACTGACCAGACGCTGCCTGTATTAAACTCCCACTGGATCAAAGGAAGGTTGCAGGAGAAACCGACCTGCTGTCCCATGGCGGCGGCGGCGCCCCGGAAGCCGGCCAGCTCTGGAGGCACCGGCAGAGGTTTAGCCCCGGAGATATGCTCAGAGATGGCGGGATGGAGGGCTCCCGCTGCTCCGCTCATCTGCTGGGCCAGGAACATGGCTCTGTCCGGCAGCTTGGTGGGTTCAGCGCACGCCTGCTGCCACACCGGAAGCTTCTGGGAGAGAAGCTCCTTCCCCTGAAACACAGAGGAGTCATACGGAGGCCTGTTTGGATCACATTCTGCAGTTACAAAAATGCCTTAATCTAGAAACATTTCTACTCTGATCAAATCTGAATTTAAACTAAAGCAAATTAAAAATGAACGTCTACACAGTTTGGCTTTAGTGAAAAAACAACTTCTGGAAAATAAATGATTCAAGTTTTATTTTCAAGTTTTATTGTTTTTTTGCTTTTTAAGTTAAGAAGAAAAGCTCTGATTAGACAGAGTCACGTTTTTATAGACTAGCAGAAATAATGGATGTCAACTAAAGGAAGGGCAGAAATTGAATAAAGTCAACCTATTTTAGAATGGGGGGGTCTGAAAGAGGATTAGCTTATAGGGTACATAACAGAGCACCTCGCTCTCAATCTGCAGGTTTACTAGTGGTTCCTAGAATTTCTAAAAGTAGAATGGGAGGCAGATCTTTTAGTTCTCAGGCTCCTCTCCTGTGGAACCAACTACCAGTTTTAGTCCGTGAGGCAGACACCCTGTCTACTTTTAAGGCTAGGCTTAAAACTTTCCTTTTTGATAAAGCTTCTAGTTAGAGTGGCTCAGGTTATCCTGAGCTATCTCTATAGTTCTGCTGCTATAGGCTTAGACTGCTGGAGGACATAGGGACCCCTTTTTCATCATTCTGCTTCATTCTATCTCTATTCTCCCACTCTGCAGAATCTGTTAGTTCAATCTCTAACGTTCTGCTCTCTCTGCTTTTTCTCATAGTAGCTTCATCTGGTCTGTTCCTGTTTGGCTGTGACTCCATCCTGGAGAGAAATATCAGCTGTGCTGCTGCCATCAACACCTTTGTTTCTAGATGTTGGAGCTTGGCCTGTTTTCCAGTGTAGTCCTGTTTCTCTGACTGTGACTAACTGGATGTGCTCTCTTCATCCTCTGACATGGGAGCTGGCTCGGAGCTCGTCTGCCTGGCTGTGTGTTTCCTGGACGGGGCCGCCTGTGGAGCTGGTTGACAGTTGCCTTTTGTATCTATGCTTCTTTTTCTATGTCTGCTTCTGTCTCCTTGAACCCCAGTGGGCCTCAGCAGATGGCCGCTCACACTAAGCCTGGTTGTGCCGGAGGTTTCTTCCTGTTCAAAGGGAGTTTTTCCTCTCCACTGTCGCTACAAGCATGCTTAGTGTGAGGGATTGCTGAAGAGTCAATGAGTCGATGCAATCAGCTGGTTTTCCTTAGATAGAAAACTTTGAATCAATCTGACTGGATGATCTGGTTGAAGTGTAAAGTGACCTGAGATGACATGATGTGGATTGGAGCTATAGAAATACACTGAATAGAACTGATGACACGTTTGAAAGTGAACTGGCAGGAAGTGGAGAGATTCTGCTCTGCTGATGCGCAGCCAGAGGGATGAATCACACGTGAAAGAGGCTCTCAGCGCTGCAGAGTGTCCATGCATTATACAGCAGGACGGTTATGTAAAAGACATCATCTGCATCATCATCATCATCATCATCCAGAAACGGTGCAGGCCGAGGAGAGTCCTGCTGCGGCGCCTGGTGGGATCATCTCACGGTCACACGAGGAAAGTCTGATCACTGAGACAGAGGAACGACAAGTTCTGTTTCTCTGTGATCTGCAAACTTTCTCTGAGAGGATCTCTGCTGCTGGTGAGAGCGATGAGTCACTGCGACCCCCGTTAGCCTGTCAGATCGCAGCGAGGGAGCGTAGGTGGTCGGTGCCTCTACCGGCGTGAAGATAATCAGCTTTATTACCATCTCCCTGCTGTCTGAGAGCAGAAACCGGACCGTCACCTGGTCTGCAGCTACAGCTGAGGAACAATTTAGCTTCTCTAAATCCTAAACATTAGAAGATGAGCCCATCTCTGGGAAGTGGCAGCACTCTGACTGAGGCGGCGGCTCGCTCTGACCCCGACACGCAGCTCTGAAGAGAAAAACATCTCAAACGCAGAGAAACTGACAAGTTTGTTCCGTTGCCAAGAGAGAAAACCCCTCCTGTTGTTTTGTGGCATCAGGGCAGCTGGCGGTCTAATTTCATCCCTTTCTGATGTCTAATCATCCATCAGCAGTTTGCATTCGCTGCTTCCGCCTCCCGTCTATCAGTCACTCATTCAGACACTTTCACCCACACAGCCACTCAGAACCAAGTGTTCCTGCAGAAGTAGGTCATTATCCCCGCCGCCTTCCTCCTCCTCATCCTCCTCCTCCACATGTGAAGCCATTCAGGCAGGAAGTAGGAGGGGCTCAGACTGTTGATGATGCTGAGCTCTGATTGGCTGCCTTAGATGATCTGGACCAAAACTGAATTAATGAAGGCGATTTTATAACAACCTGACGCACATAAAGCAACTTTCTACTGATTATCCATGAAGCAGCTCTGGTGATTCCTTTTTAGTGAAGCGAATCAGTTCTAAAAATGATTCGTTCAAAGGAATCATTCACTGAATCCTTCCGTTCATGTAACTAAGGTTTGGAGTGACGGTTCAAACCGGCAGTAATGTCACAGAGGGAGCTACTTATTTCCATTAATGATGAGGAATAAACATGGATTTAGAGACAATAAAAGTGAAATTAAAGAACTTTAATGTTGAAACAAGGGCTGCAACTAAAGATTATTTAGATGAGCGATAAATCTGTTGATTATTTCTTTTGATTAATCGATTAATAATCGGATAGCCAAAGGTTCCTTAAAAGGAAAAACAGGAGAAAATAAAATTTTTATCTCCAATGCAAAATATTTCTATATTTTTTCTCAATTGGGTCGCTCTGCCAGCAAAAGCACATTTTAGAGTCTCTGTCCTCCAGTTAATGATTAATTGATTACTGAGGCAACTGCCTAGTTTTTCCTGATGGTAAATCCCCCCTGATGAAGACGTCTCAGACTTTTGCCGTCATCCGTTCAGCAATCCTTCCTAAATCCTTCTCCGCTGCTGTGCAGCAGGAATCAGGACCAACACCCCTCCTAGTTCTCACCTTGCTGTGGTACGCGCTGCTGTTGCTGGCCACGGCACACTGGCGGTCCACCAGGAAGCAATACCTCCTCCTCTCCTCAGACAGAGCGTTCTTGTAGCCCTTAGCGATGTACTGGTCCAGCTCACTCTGCTTGTTGCTGATGGCCTCCACGTACTGGGCAGAAAAGAAAAAGATCCGTGATAAACGGAGGCTGAATCAGTCCTGCAGAAGCTTTGAGTCATTAAATGATGACAGAAGAAGTAAACATTTGATCTTTCCTGCGCTTAAAAACAGGAATCTTAGCAAATCAAACCACAAAACCAGGATTTTAAGAACCGAGCAGCAGAATGAGAATCAGATTTCATGGAGAGCTTCATCCAACATCAACTACTGAAGATTTTAAAGAGGGCTGCAACTAATGATGATGTTGCAAATGGATTAATCTGTTGATTATCTTTTTGATTAATCGATTAATAATTTGATAGCCTTCCTTTAGGAAGACTTTTGATTAAATTAAGCCAAGTGAAACTAAAACTTTTCCACTTGAGGAGTTCTGGATAGAGCGGATTGCCCAACATAAAGTATTTTTGATCTTAAATGCAAAATATTTATATATATTTTTTATTTTCTTATAATTCCTGCTGTAAGTGGGTCGCTCCAGTTAACGATTAATTGATTACTAAATGTGTCGTTGATCGTTCAATAATTGATTAATCTGATTATTTCAGCCTTATTCTTAAATAAAAAAAAATCAAACAAAAAAACTGTATTTGTCCTTAATCTCAGCAGGTAGATAAGATGATCCTCCATTGTAACAATAGTTAGATATTTTATACTAGTAGGGGTGTGGGGGGGAAATAATCATTTTGGCTATATATTGTGATTTTAGGCTGCCTAATATGATATTGATTTTTCATAACCTAGTATGAATTTTAAAAAACAACATTTTTTTAGCCAAATCAATGATGGAAAAATGGGCTACCTCTGCACCCCCACTCTGGCAGGTGGCGCTGTGGAGCCCTTTAGGTGTGCGGTACAGCGCCAAATCTGTAGCTGAGGCGTCACAGTGGAAGATGTGGACCGACTCAAACCCCAAACAACATGGAGACCAAAATAACTTAATGATCAAAATCTTCTGATAAACATTTACAGCACTTGCCTTTTTATCTATACATTTAATTTTAGAGCTATATATTTATAAAGCTTCTAGTTAGAGTGGCTCAGGTTATCCTGAGCTATCTCTATAGTTCTGCTGCGATAGGCTTAGACTGCTGGAGGACATAGGGACCCCTTTTTCATCATTCTGCTTCATTCTATCTCTATTCTCCCACTCTGCAGAATCTGTTAGTTCAATCTCTAACGTTCTGCTCTCTCTGCTTTTTCTCATAGTAGCTTCATCTGGTCTGTTCCTGTTTGGCTGTGACTCCATCCTGGAGAGAAATATCAGCTGTGCTGCTGCCATCAACACCTTTGTTTCTAGATGTTGGAGCTTGGCCTGTTTTCCAGTGTAGTCCTGTTTCTCTGACTGTGACTAACTGGATGTGCTCTCTTCATCCTCTGACATGGGAGCTGGCTCGGAGCTCGTCTGCCTGGCTGTGTGTTTCCTGGACGGGGCCGCCTGTGGAGCTGGTTGACAGTTGCCTTTTGTATCTATGCTTCTTTTTCTATGTCTGCTTCTGTCTCCTTGAACCCCAGTGGGCCTCAGCAGATGGCCGCTCACACTGAGCCTGGTTCTGCTGGAGGTTTCTTCCTGTTCAAAGGGAGTTTTTCCTCTCCACTGTCGCTACAAGCATGCTTAGTGTGAGGGATTGCTGAAGAGTCAATGAGTCGATGCAATCAGCTGGTTTTCCTTAGATAGAAAACTTTGAATCAATCTGACTGGATGATCTGGTGAACTGGAAAGTGACCTGAGATGACATGATGTGAATTGGAGCTATAGAAATAAACTGAATAGAATTAATTTTGATAGCTGGGAAAAATACACCTATATATCATAATAATATCGTAACATATCGCAACAACCATGCCAATACTCACCCCTATACACTGGAATAAAATAACTTAATTTTTTTCCTATTTTTAACTTAAATCATATTATTCCATTGGCTGGTCTTACCTGCTTAAATTAAGAATTTTTATTTATTAGGAAAAACTGCCTTCTTAATATTTTCGTCTTTTCGTTCCTCAGCAGTGAAGGAGTTAATGGCGGCGCCCCGAGCGGTTCACACATCAGAGGTCATGCTGGACATTTAAAAATAAACTGACGTTGGCAGGAAACGGATCTATAGAGCGACTGGAGTCATCCAGCAATGCTCCATAATCACCATCACACTTTCAGCAACGCCACAAGTGCTAATTATGGAATAAATCACGCAGAGTCGACATTCATTAAGGTTTCACTGCCTCGTTTACGTTTGTCTAAAAACAGAAGCTCCATTAATCATTTAGGTCAAGAAAACCTATTTAGTCAGTAAGAATCAGTCAGACCAGGATGTTTCCTGTTTGAACCAATGAAGGCAGAACCTTGGAATCATTTCATCTATAAAAGCACTTCTTTAAACTGAAATCATCTCAAAGCCATTAATGCACAATGCTAAATCCTGATTGGTTAAAAGCTTTCATGCTTTAACAACAAATCAACTTTGGAAACGTTGTCTACCCGGGTCAAACCACTCGGCAAGTGATCGGCATGCTTGGGGAACACAACCTGTGGGAACACCAGTCGACCCACTAAATTACGTGATACCATTGAACGCAACATACGAACATCAACTCGCGGCGCCAGTCGCTTCTGATCTAACAAGCAGAAACAACTCTGTTTCCATTTGATAAACACGGAGCAGCTCTGGTGAGAGGGATTCAGACACATAATAGAGGGAAACAATGAAGCACACTGACTACGCCCTGGCTTCCTTCCATGTTGCTGTCCATTGTTTACATCCCTGATCGCACTGATGATATCAATTCTAAGGCCTGGTTATCCTCCCGCAGCAGTGTGTCGCAGATATTTTTATTTATGCTCAATATTGAAGCGTGGTCTGCGCTATGTTATTCCACGCCACAACGCCAGAGGTCCAATCAGGAACTAGCTGTGGGTCTAGATACGGCCGAGGCGGTGAGGAAGTGGGGGCAAGTTTGTGCGACAACGGAGGGACATGAGGGCCAAAAAGAGCGGGGATCCAGGTGGAAAAAGGGTCCCAGCGTCTCGCGCACCTCGCTCTGCTAGCTGCTCCATCTTCACCAGTCGTTTCTCACAATGGCGGTCATACTAACAAAACAAGCTGGTAAGGAACCAAACAGGAAATACGCATAGTGTAGAGCGGATGTAGATTTGACCAATCAGAGGCCTCCTGTCTGCGGCACTGTCTGAGGTCACCTGCAATTTTGGAAAGGTGCAGCAGAGTGTCTGCAGAAGGGGGCGGGACATATCTGCGTTAACTGCGACACAAACGCAGAGGACCTGGTTTCAGAGCATAAACCAGCCTTAACCCAGGATGATGATGTCACCAGACACGCAGCCGTGGTGGGATAGAGGCCACGCAGCTGCCAGCAAGGCTTTTATGCCAATGGGAAGGGATCCAAATGCTGATCGTTAGTGGGTCGACCTATGTTTGAAAAACATCAGTTAAGTTTCAGTGGGAAAGAGGATTTAAAGTATTAAAGTAATGCAGGAAAAAATTTTAATGCCAGAAGTTTTACTGCTCTACTCTATTAAAGAAACATTTTTCTACTATTCTGGATGATAACTTCCTTCAGAATTCATTTTCTTAGTTTTAGAACTAATGGTGACAGCGTCACATTTAACTTTGCATCATCTGCAAAAACTATTTATTTTGGTTTGTGGTGAGCAACAAGTTGGGGCAGCACCGAGTCCAACCACAAAGACATTAATTGTCTGGATGAAACTAATTATTATTTTGATGTTTTTAATTTTTTTAAATACCAACAGGCCAGAATGAAAATGAGCTTAAATGAAACAAAACTAAAGTAAAAAGTAAAATAATTACTTCAGTAAAGTACAGATAAGCAACATTACTACAGAAGTAAGGGAATGAAGTATTTGTACTTTGTTGCTTGACGCCTCTGATCATGAATGCAGCCTCTGCAACATCAGAGCTAAGATTTTTAATGATAACTTTATTTTCTTTGTTTTATTATTAATGGTAACAGTGTCATATTTAACTTTGCAGCATCTTGAACAATTAATTATTGTTTTATTAATGATAAGATTGGAGTTGGATCTAAAAAAATAAAAAAATCCTGCAGAACTCAGCAGAGTCGGCAGGAACCTTTTAAAGGTCTCGTTCACATGGGGAGAAAAATGTTCGACTTTCCTGGAGGCATTTTAAAGAAGCTTTTAGCTTCGCGGTCAGAAATTCACTCACAGGAAACAAAGTGACTCTTTACTCAAAGTGCCTGAAAACAGAAACTCAGCGGCCTCCCTGCAGGATTCACAGAAACAAGCCGCAGCAGCAAACGCAGCTCCTCCCATTTTTTTACTTTTTGGTGAAACAAAACTTTGTAAAAACTCAAAGGGAAGCAATAATCTGTGGATCTAAGGAAAGTCGTTTCAGCTGAGCCGCCCGGATCTCTCAGCAAAGAGCGGCTCCTCATCCAGCGGAGTCGCTGGGAAAAGTCAGCGGCGGCTAGAGAGGAAGACGAGCTGCGTTCAGGTTCCAGCAGGGAGCAGCAAACCTTCCTGCAACCACACAGCTGAAGAAACAACCACCTTCCCTCCATCAGATATCAGCATGAAGCCGAGAACAGCTGGGAGCGTTAATGAAGATCCACAGGACTCATCAGGAGGAAATCAATGCGTTTAGCATGGAGGTCCTCCATGAAGCTGATTTATTTACACACCAACTGGCCTTTTCTTCCCCAGCGCTATAAATCGGACTCTGCTGCTGCCTCCCGCTACTGGAGGCTCCAATCAGCGCTTCAAGCAGTGCGGAGAAGCCGTGCTAAGAGGGAACATGTCAGCAGGGAGGCGGACATGCAGAGAGGTTCCCCTGATTGGCCCTGCTGAAGGTGCTGTGATGGTTTCTTCAGGTCAAAGCAGTGAGCAGCCAGATGAAAACTCCCTTCCAGGAGCAGCTGGAAGCCGAGTGACCTTTGAACTTATGAAGTTGTCTCTGTTCTCTGCACAGTGAGCTAAAACAAAATGGAGGTAATGA